ACCGGGCATGGAGCTCGCCCTCCCGAGCTGGGTCAGCGAGACGCCAGCGCCCCTCGCGGCGGCCCTCAGCGCGCCACTGACTACCGACTCGCCTGCGTCCCCTGCGGCGGTCCCGAGCGACTGCGAGACGCCCGCGTCGGCCCTCAGCGCGCCCACAGCCAGCGAGACGCCCCTGTCCCCCGCGGCCGACCCCAGCGCGCACACAGGACTCCCACCGACCCCAGCGCCCCGGGTTGCTAAAGCGGGTGAGACCCCGGATCGCGAGGAGAACGACTCCCTTTCCGAGGCCTCAACGGAAGCCTCCCCGGTGCTTGACCGGACTATCGTTCCCTCCACCCCAGAGACTGAGCACTACAGCGAGTCAGACCTCTCGACCGCGACCTCAAGCCCGGCCAGCCCTAACATTAGGCACCCAGTGGGACCGCCGCTCCCCAGGCCCCAGTCAGGCGCGCCGCACCCGTCAGCGGCTTCAGGTACAAGCGACACTGACGAGTGGCCAGAGTCTGCGCCGGAATGGTGGAAAACGAGTCCTGCGTCTCACAATCGCTCCCAGTCGCGATCGTCTTCGACAGACCGCCGTCTGACTCGCTCGGCGGTGCGCAGCCTTAATCTTTAAACATGAGTCACAACCGTCCTGAATTCTTCCTTCAATGGAACACTTGCTCGCTAATACACCACTGGGCTGAATTCAAAAACTATATCTTGCATAACAAACCGTTGGTAGCCGCAATCCAGGAAACCAGATTTTTGGATTCAGACTCTATAAACTATAATTACAATATCCGGAACTACTCTCTATATACCAATAACGTAAACGCTCACCCGCGCCAAGGCGGCTCGGCGCTTTATATTTCCAATAATCTTTTGCATCACCAAATCTCACTCCGCACAGCGCTTAACGTTGTCGGAGTCAAAGTCAAAATTGCACAACGTGACCTGACTATCCTCTCTATTTACCTTTCCCGTTCCTTTCCTTTCAATCCTTCTCAAATGTCAGAATTGCTTTCCCAAATCTCCCCTCCATTCATTGTGATGGGAGATTTCAACGCCTACCACCAGTCGTGGGGTTGTGCATGTAATGACACGCGCGGAACACAACTGTTTAACGTAATTGACTCACTTGATTTGATTCCACTGACAAATCGCGTCCCCACGTGTACACGCATCAACAATGGCGTCGCATCACACACCGTCATTGACTTCGCCATCACTGACACTAACACCGCACTGCTCTTCACACAGTATACTGCGGACGACCCACTCTTTAGCGATCACTACCCACTTCATTATTCCCTTGACGTCCCTTCAGGACAATCCAACTTTAATTTTCTTCCCAGATGGAACTTTCGCAAAGCCGATTGGGCTGAATATCAAAACCATATTAACGTAAACATCCAAACTCCCCCTAGAGATATTAACACTTTTCTAGATATAATACTTAACGCCGCTCGTAAATCAGTCCCACTTTCAGGCCCTCCCCGCCCCAATAACAATGCTCCATGGTGGAACAGTGAATGCCAGAGAGCGGTCGCCCTCCGGAGGCGGGCACTACGCGCCTTTAGGCGCTGCCTATGCCCAGCACATGAGGAGGAAGCGCGTAAGGCTCGTTCTCATTCCCGCAAAATTATTCTTAGTGCAAAACAATCGAGCTGGCAACTTTTCTCGAACAACTTTAATCGTTTTACCCCCCTATCGCAAATATGGTCTCTCATAAAATGTTTCTCCAACAAACAACCCCGAAATTATAAAATCCCACACCTACACATTAACAACACCCACTATCTCACACCACTAGAAGTAGCCACACAATTCGCCATACATTATGCTAACATTTCATCAGTACAACAGTATACTCCACAACTAACCACAACACTCGATTCCCAACTTGCTTCCCTTTCATTTCACTCCAACAACACAGAAATGTACAATGCACCTTTCACAGCACATGAACTACAATCAGCACTCAACAGATGTGGCAACACATCAGTTGGTCCAGACCAGGTTGCCTACGCTTTTCTCAAAAATCTCCCTGAATCTGGACAGCAAACCCTCCTGGAAACTCTAAATCGCCTTTGGGAAAACAATTCGTATCCTGCTTCCTGGAGCGAAAGCACCATTATCCCTATCCTTAAACCTTCTAAACTTCCCTCAAACCCTTCTAACTATCGACCTATATCTCTCACCAGTTGTGCCTCTAAACTAACAGAAAGAATGGTTAACGGACGAATTAGGGCGTATCTTGAATCAAACAATCTTCTTACTACTTACCAAAACGGATTCCGACCTGGTCGGTCAACTGCTGATAGTGTTATTCACATAATTGACACAATTCAAAGAGGATTTCAAAGAAGGGAATACACGATCGCCGTCTTCCTTGATTTTAAAAACGCCTTCGACAAAGTCAATAAATCCGCTCTTCTGATTAAACTTCATCGAACCGGTATTCGCGGTCACATGGCGAACTTTATACAGAACTTCCTTGCTAATCGAACATTCAGAGTCCGTTGTGGCCACACCTACTCTCCACTCTTTACACTAGATCATGGCCTCCCACAGGGCAGTGTAATTTCTCCTACTCTCTTTTTGATCATGATCAATGACCTTTTCAACAACACACCTAGCAATATACAACACTCTCTTTACGCCGATGATGTAGCCTTTTGGGTTTCTCATCGTGATCTTGATCAAGGCATAGCAATCATGCAACTCGTTCTTGAAAAAAATAGAAACATGGTGTAATCAATGGGGACTCGTCCTCTCATCAGACAAATCAAAATCGGTCATTTTTTCAAGACGACTCCCCAAAACCAATCATCGTAACCTTAGAATCAACAATCGTAACCTTCAATTCGTTTCACACTTTAAATATCTAGGTATCACACTTGATTCCTTGCTTAATTTTAGTAAACACTTCGAAGACATTCAACAAAGATGCGCCAGACGACTTTCGATTATGAGATGTATAGCCGGCAGGGAGTGGGGAGCCGATCGGAGAACCCTCCTCCGCCTATACACCTCCCTAATTCGTCCTATCCTGGATTACAACGGTTTCTTATACGATGATATAGCCACTAAAAAAATTGATTCTCTCCAAGTGATTCAGAACACCGCTCTTCGTATAATCACCGGTGCAATGAAAACTTCCAATATTGACAATCTTCACATTGATGTCAATATTCCTACACTTGATCGACGCCGCAAATATCTTCTTCTCCGCTTTTATCTTCGTTGCTGCGCGAACCCCTCGAATCCCTCTAATCAAATACTTACAAATCGATATTCTTCGTCTCCTCCAAGTGACCCTGAAAGGAGATTCCCAGTGATCAGTTATCGCGTAGAGAAGGCTCTTAATCATTTCAACATTTCTTTCCCGTCCATTTTGCCTATCCCCCCTATAACCTCTTTCTGGTTGGCACCCATCCAGAACGTAGATCATCTTTTCTCAGAAAATAAGAAGCATATCTCCTCACAAGAAATCTCTCAACTCTTCATACAATATGTAAATCAATACAACGATCATACCTTCTTTTATACTGACGGATCACTATCAAATGGCAGAACAGGCGCTGGTGTTACATCAAAAGTCTACGAAAACTCCATTCGCCTACATAATCTTTTCACGGTCTTTTCAGCTGAACTATCAGCGATTCTGCTAGCTATTATCTATATCAAGAAACAACACATCCAAAAAAGCGTAATTTGCACTGACTCAGCTTCGGCAGTCAGTGCCATCTCAAGCAGGAAAAAAGATGACAATCATATAATATACATTATCAAGAAACATATAATTACAATTCAGAAAAAAGGATTTGAATTCCGCCTGTTGTGGATACCAGGACACGCGGGGATTCCCGGTAACACAAGGGCGGATCTCCTAGCGAAAAATAGCCTAGACAAACCGGAAAGAAACACACTTCGTTGTCCGCACAAAGATATTGCTAATCATATCCAAAATGCTCTTCTCGACCTTCGCCAATTCGACTGGAATAGTTTTCCAAATCAACATCTACACCCGATTCACCCAAAAATCAAATCATTTGCTTCTTCCAATCAAAGTAATCGTCTTAGAGAAACGGTATTGGCCAGGCTGAGAATTGGACACACCAGTACCACTCACCGATACATCTACCAGCACGAACCCCCACCCACATGCCCACATTGCACACCACTAACACGACTCAACATTGCCCACCTCCTTCTCAACTGCCCACACTACGACCAATACCGTCAACCCATCATTCACTACACAAACACACACAACCTCAGCCTGGACCTCCCAACACTCCTGGGTGATGATCATCCAGATCTAATTGAACTTCTCTTTACCTTCCTCAGTGATTCGAATCTCATCAATAGCATATGATCGCAACCCAGCACACAGTATATAGATGTCCTTATGATCTTCCATCGTCGTCTCCATCCGCTTCGTTTTGCTTCCATTCGCTTTCGTTCTCGCCGCCTTTTCCAAGTGTATACATATATGTGTGTAAGCTCGCTGTTCTCGACAGGGATCCCTCTTAAAGGTTGAGGCCCACTCGAGACACAGCCACAAACACACATACACATTAGCGATATAACGTAACGTAATATAACGTAATTAAAGAAAGGGCTTTTTTACTGTGTACTTTGGCTGAAAGCACAGGTTTTTGCCCTCTTGGTTGGGCACCAGGTTTTTTCTAGTTAGGACTTTTCCTGGTAAAGTTCACCCCACAACAACACACACCAAACAACAGCACACAAATCAGCAGCAAGTCACAGCAGCAAGTTCTATATAAGTAACCAAATTTATTGTCTCGCCCATCAGGCACCTTTCGGCCTTCCCTTTGCCTTGCAACCCACCGGACGCCACATGAGCCGGTTTAACGTAGTCTTTTGCCTTTCTCTTAGTTCTTGGGCCGGAATCAAATAGCCGGCATTAACGTAACGTAAACGAAAGACCTGGCCAATTGCCAGCTAGTAACTTTCCCCTTCCCCCGGCTATAGCCACTTGGCTTGCCGGGAGGACAAAAAAAAAAAAAAAAAAAAAAACCGCGAAACTTAACCCACGCAATGGCTCGCACAAAGCAGACAGCACGCAAATCCACGGGCGGTAAGGCACCGCGCAAGCAGTTGGCCACTAAGGCGGCTCGCAAGAGTGCGCCGGCCACTGGCGGCGTCAAGAAGCCACACAGGTACCGGCCCGGCACAGTGGCACTGCGTGAGATCCGCCGCTATCAGAAAAGCACCGAGCTGCTCATCCGCAAGCTGCCGTTCCAGCGGCTCGTGCGCGAGATTGCCCAGGATTTCAAGACTGACCTGCGCTTCCAGAGCAGTGCCGTTATGGCCCTGCAGGAGGCCAGCGAGGCCTATCTGGTCGGCCTCTTCGAGGACACCAACCTGTGTGCCATCCACGCCAAGCGTGTTACCATCATGCCCAAGGACATTCAGCTGGCGCGTCGCATCCGCGGCGAGCGCGCCTAGGCCGCTTGTGCCGTTGCCGTGCTCCGGCAGGCTGGCAAGCAAGAAACAGGTCCTTCTCAGGACCAGAGAGGTGTTGCGTAGATTGCCTGATCGGATTTTTGCCGCTTTGTGGACTACAGGACGCTTTGGGGACTGGGGACTACCTAAACCAACCTAGCCTGACCAAACAGAACTTTACCTAACCTAACCTAACCTTAACTAGCCAAACCGAGCCCCTAACCCAACCCACACGAACCTAACCCAAACTAACCTAACCTAACTTTACCTAACGCAACCCAAACTTGACTAAACGAACTGAACCTAACCTAACCCAACCCAGCCTTAACTAGCCGAAACGAACCTAACCTAACCCAACCTTACCCAGCCTAGCCTAGCCTAGCCTAACCTAACCTAACCTAACCTAACCTAACCTAACCGTCTCCCCAACGGCGACGAGGAAAAAGTTACTCGCAGAAATTAATCAATTCCTGCGAATTAATAATAATTCATTAATTATTATTAATTCGCAAATTTAATTAATTATCTATTAGTGATTAATCTATATTATGATTTATAAGTTGTCTGTGCGTGCGTAATCCGTCATGACTTATGTGTCTTATTGCGCCTGAAAGGCGCCGCGTATCGGCGTGAAATTTGGCATGCCAAATCTGTGGGCGTGGGCGGCCTTTGTATTAAAATTTGGGCGTGATCGGACCAGGGGTGCGCCGTCAGCACGTGCAAAAGGGCGCTCTCATAGGGATAGCATGGTGTCGGCGAGAGCGGCGGTCGGCCGAAAATCGGGCCGACACGGCTCGCTTTCCGGCTTGATATCTCGGCAACGGGTGATTGCAGCGAGAAGCGGTTGCCACCAATGGATAGAAGAGAGATGGAACTAGCGTATTGATATGGTTTCATAGTATAGCACGCGTCACGTGCAAGACAGCACCCCTGGTTGTGAAGAAATGACCGATTTCGTGCATTGTGACGGGAAAATCGATGCCGCTGGAAAACGGCTTAACGGAATGAAATCGGTGTGGTGCCATTTTGCAGGCAAATGTATGTGTAATCAGAGGATAGCAAACAAAAACTGATGCTCCGTACCATTTCCTTGATAATGAAAAATTAATTTGAAAATCTATTTCGCGCAGAACGCGATGTCATTTACAACATCAAAACGTATTGAAAACGCTGATCAATGGCTATGAAACGTGCATATTCGGAAAGCGCATTCTTTTCTGACCAATATCCACCCAAAATATTATCGAAAAGTCAATAAACTTTTGTGAAAATGACTCAAGCATGCGACCGTGTTTTGATAACGTTACGCGTATTTTCCGACGAAATCGGATCGGTGGCTTCGGCAGGCAGGCCCAGGCAGGCCAATGAACCTTTGACAACAAACGGTAGCGGAAGGCACCTCTCGCCAGGGGAATTCGCCAGTAAATAAAATAAATTTATTCTTGCAATAACTCAGCCGCTACCGGGCCGATTGTGCTGAATTTTGGGACTGTCAACGGGCACATATCGAACGACACATTACCATATGTAGAGTGCTAAATGCTAATGCACGTGCACACCTGGAAAGGAGCAGTTTCCTATCTCAAGAACGGCTGGGCCAATTTCTCTCAAACTTGGTACACACTACATAACCCGTAAAATCAATTAAATACCATACAGTTATCGCGCAAACATGGCCATCTAGTCTATATTATGATTTATAAGTTGTCCGTGCGTGCGTAATCCGTCATGCCTTATGTGTCTTATTGCGCCTGAAAGGCGCCGCGTATCGACGTGAAATTTGGCATGCCGAATCTGTGGGCGTGGGCGGCCTTTGTATTAAAATTTGGGACGGATTAGCCCAGGGGTGCGCCGTCGGCACGTGCAAAAGGGTGCTCCCATAGGCTTAACACGTGGCCGGCGAAAATCGTGATCGGGCGAAAATCGGGCCTGCAGCGCTCCTTTCCCGGGCTTATAACTCGGCGATGGGAGGCTGCAGGGAGATGGGGTGGCCACCATTGGATAGACGAGAGATGGGCCTATCGTATTGATATAGTTTCATAGCATAGCACGCGCCACGTGCAAGACAGCACCCCCAGTTGCGAAAAAATGACCGATTTCATGCATTGTGGGAAGAAAACCGATGCCGCTGGAAAACGGCTTGACGGAATGAAGTCGGTATTGTATCGTTTTGCAGACAAATGTACGTGTAATAATAGGAAAGCAAATAAAAAGTGACGATCCGTACCATTTCTTTAATAATGAAAAATTAATTTGAAAATTTGATTTGCACGGAGCGCGATGTCCTTTACAACACCAAAATGTATTGAAAACGATGATCAATCGTTATGAAACCTACATATTCGGAAAGAGCATTCTTTTCTGACCAATATCCACCCAAGATATTATCGAAAAGTCAATAAACTTTTGTGAAAATGACTCAAGCATGCGACCGTGTTTTGATAACGTTACGCGTATTTTCCGACGAAATCGGATCGGTGGCTTCGGCAGACAGGCCCAGGCAGGCTATTGAACCTTTGACAACAAACGGTAGCGGGTAGAGTAGAGTAGGGTAGGGTAGGGGTAGGATAGTGTAGGAGTAGGGTAGGGTAGGGTAGGGGTAGGGTAGGGTAGGGTAGGGGGTAACGGTAGCGCTGGCTTACACCTTCTCCGCCGGCGCCAAGGTTGAAACTAATCAAGGTCACGTTTATTGATGTCCGTGAAATTAGCGTCAGCAACAGCAACGAATACAGCGTCGGATTCAGAATCGCTTCAAAAACTCATATCAGGTCAATTGGGGGACGGGGAGCAAGAATATGACCTTTATTTAGCCCTAGCTCTTACCCCTTACCCCTTAATCGGCCCTTAAAAGAAGGGGCGCGTCAAAAGTACCTCAAGGGTTCGTCTGATCGCCAAAATAAGGGCGGCAATCGATTCCTCGGGTCAATATCTAGCCGCAGCCTTGGGTTCCAGATGTGTGCATCTTACCCCTTACCCCTTAATCGGCCCTTAAAAGAAGGGGCGCGTCAAAAGTACCTCAAAGGTTCGTCTGATCGCCAAAATAAGGGCGGCAATCGATTCCTCGGGTTAATATCTATCCGCAGCCTCGGGTTCCAGATGTGTGCATCTTACCTCTTACCCCTTAATCGGCCCTTAAAGGAAGGGGCGCGTCAAAAGTGCCTCAAGAGTTCGTCTCATCGCCAAAATAAGGGCGGCAATCGATTCCTCGGGTCAATGTCAATATCTAGCCGCAGCCTCGGGTTCCAGATGTGTGCATCTTACCCCTTACCCCTTAATCGGCCTTTAAAAGAAGGGGCGCGTCAAAAGTGCCTCAAGAGTTCGTCTGATCGCCAAAATAAGGGCGGCAATCGATTCATCGGGTCAATATCTAACCGCAGCCTCGGGTTCCAGATGTGTGCATCTTACCCCTTACCCCTTAATCGGCCCTTAAAGGAAGGGGCGCGTCAAAAGTGCCTCAAGGGTTCGTCTGATCGCCAAAATAAGGGCGGCAATCGATTCCTCGGGTCAATATCTAGCCGCAGCCTCGGGTTCCAGATGTGTGCATCTTACCCCTTACCCCTTAATCGGCCCTTAAAAGAAGGGGCGCGTCAAAAGTACCTCAAGGGTTCGTCTGATCGCCAAAATAAGGGCGGCAATCGATTCCTCGGGTCAATATCTAGCCGCAGCCTTGGGTTCCAGATGTGTGCATCTTACCCCTTACCCCTTAATCGGCCCTTAAAAGAAGGGGCGCGTCAAAAGTACCTCAAGGGTTCGTCTGATCGCCAAAATAAGGGCGGCAATCGATTCCTCGGGTTAATATCTATCCGCAGCCTCGGGTTCCAGATGTGTGCATCTTACCTCTTACCCCTTAATCGGCCCTTAAAGGAAGGGGCGCGTCAAAAGTGCCTCAAGAGTTCGTCTCATCGCCAAAATAAGGGCGGCAATCGATTCCTCGGGTCAATGTCAATATCTAGCCGCAGCCTCGGGTTCCAGATGTGTGCATCTTACCCCTTACCCCTTAATCGGCCTTTAAAAGAAGGGGCGCGTCAAAAGTGCCTCAAGAGTTCGTCTGATCGCCAAAATAAGGGCGGCAATCGATTCATCGGGTCAATATCTAACCGCAGCCTCGGGTTCCAGATGTGTGCATCTTACCCCTTACCCCTTAATCGGCCCTTAAAGGAAGGGGCGCGTCAAAAGTGCCTCAAGGGTTCGTCTGATCGCCAAAATAAGGGCGGCAATCGATTCCTCGGGTCAATATCTAGCCGCAGCCTCGGGTTCCAGATGTGTGCATCTTACCCCTTACCCCTTAATCGGCCCTTAAAGGAAGGGGCGCGTCAAAAGTGCCTCAAGGGTTCGTCTGATCGCCAAAATAAGGGCGGCAATCGATTCCTCGGGTCAATATCTAGCCGCAGCCTCGGGTTCCAGATGTGTGCATCTTACCCCTTACCCCTTAATCGGCCCTTAAAAGAAGGGGCACGGCAAAAGTACCTCAAGGGTTCGTCTGATCGCCAAAATAAGGGCGGCAATCGATTCCTCGGGTCAATATCTAGCCGCAGCCTCGGGTTCCAGATGTGTGCATCTTACCCCTTACCCCTTAATCGGTCCTTAAAGGAAGGGGCGCGTCAAAAGTGCCTCAAGGGTTCGTCTGATCGCCAAAATAAGGGCGGCAATCGATTCCTCGGGTCAATATCTAGCCGCAGCCTCGGGTTCCAGATGTGTGCATCTTACCCCTTACCCCTTAATCGGCCCTTAAAGGAAGGGGCGCGTCAAAAGTGCCTCAAGGGTTCGTCTGATCGCCAAAATAAGGGCGGCAATCGATTCCTCGGGTCAATATCTAGCCGCAGCCTCGGGTTCCAGATGTGTGCATCTTACCCCTTACCCCTTAATCGGCCCTTAAAAGAAGGGGCGCGGCAAAAGTACCTCAAGGGTTCGTCTGATCGCCAAAATAAGGGCGGCAATCGATTCCTCGGGTCAATATCTAGCCGCAGCCTCGGGTTCCAGATGTGTGCATCTTACCCCTTACCCCTTAATCGGCCCTTAAAGGAAGGGGCGCGTCAAAAGTGCCTCAAGGGTTCGTCTGATCGCCAAAAT